TGTAGAACATGTAAAAATTTCAAAACAATAAAACATTCGTAGGTTTGTGTAATTAAGCTTCCAGTTCTTTGTTTGTTTGTAGTTAAGCACAAAGCTCCACAAAGGACTATCCATGCTCTGCCCACCACGGCTATCGAAACCCAGTTTCTAGCGTTGTAAATCCGCAGACATACCGCTGTGCCACTGGGGGGGGGGGGGGGTGCGTATTTCTTGGAAGTAAAATCTTTGTGTAAAATCTGATTACTCATTGAATCCTACTTAACTATAGGGTTGATTAATTTCTGGAAAATATCTCTTCTTAGGGATAACTACAGTTCTGACCTTATCAACTTTCGGAGTGGACACTAAGACTGATCTGCCTCGTGTATCTTACCCCACAGCTCTCGACTGGTTCGTCATCATGTGTTTCAGCTTTGTAGTTTCCACTCTTCTTCAGTTTGCCGGGGTTCATTATTTTACAAAAATTGGTAGTGGAGAGTTCTGTGGATCTCTGGAAGATCCAGGTTATCACGTCACTGTAACAAATGATGAGGTAAGACAAACACAGTGTTCAGGCACCTCAGGTAGGCGACATACAAATCTTAGTAATTGTTCAGGCAGCCTCAGGTAGGACACATACAACTCTTAATGCTGTTCAGGCAGCCTCAGGTAGGACAAATACAACTCTTATTGACTTTTCAGGGGTAGTTCAGGTACAATGCTTGGTTACTGTTCCAACTGCTGATAACATAAGAACTATTGCTTTACAAAAAAGATTTAGATTTTGAAGAGAATGTTTAAATATAACCTTGTTGTTTTAATAGAACCACGGGTCTATCCGTGCACTAGTAAAGGAGTAAAAGAGAACTTTGCATTGTTTCTGTACCGAAAAATCCGCATAATAATAGAAACTTTTAGAACAAAGATTCAGGAATGGAGTTATATTGGTAAATCTCGAAGAAAATACAAATTCACTTTCAAGATGACGACAACTGTTAGAAGCATGATTGAAAGGTTGCTGAAAATGAAGAAAGAAGAAAGTTACAGAAACTTAAAAAAAATAGAAACAGTAATTTAAAAGAGGAATTACAAGAGCAACACGTGAGATTTACAAAAGAATCATTACTAAAAAAATAATTTGATGGAAGATGAAATCAAGGAAGAAATAGAAAATGTGCAGAAGGATTATAATCAAATTAACATCAACAAAGTAAAAGGGGAAATACAAATTAATGTCAACGAAATAAAAAGGAAAATGTAAATTAACATCTATGAAGTAAAAACTGAAACTGTCAGGTTTTATAGGGCCGCGATTTTTTAAAGTGGGTGTGTGTGACTTGTTGATGATAAATTTCAATAATAAATAAACAGCACACAGTCCACTAGTTTTAAAATAATATATTCCAAACAAGTCAAACATATATACAAATATTCGTTACATAGTTAATCACCACATTTGTATTCAGAGCTTTAATAATCGTCCCATTTTGTCAAAGTCCACACAGGCTAGTTCAGTTACTTTAGAACACAATTAACAAGACAAATTATTCTCCTATACTCTGTTATCACAATACAATCAGTGATAAATTCAGTTACTTTACGCCTATCCAGAGCTTTAAATAGTTGTCTCTTTTCGTCAAAGTCCACACAGGCTGGTTCAGTTACTTTAGAACACAAATGACAAGACGAATTATTTTTCTGTGCTCTGTTGTTACAATACAATCGATGACAATTTCACTTAAAAAAAAGAAAACGTCACTATACACTCTCTACGGCTAAACTTACGATCATCCAGTCTATATCTACATCTATCGCTTTTTCTTACTTATCATTTCAGCATATATATATATATATATATATATATATACTCTCGACAACAATCTAGAACATTCTACACACTACTAGATAATGTAGCAATACTCGATTAAAGCAACGAGAAAAATTCAGAAGGTTCGAATAGCATGATGTCAATTTACAACAACTGAACTACACAACAAATGATTCGTAAACATTTACGTAATCAAACTTGCCATAACTATCGCTTCTAAAAATAACTTACTTTAACGTTTGCACTATATAAACTAAATAATACTTCCATAATAAACTTGAAATCAACAGTCGGGTATATCTAACAGAAATACAAATTAACATCAACGAAGTAAAAAAAAAAGGTGACAAATTAATTTTTAAAAATGCACTCAGAAATTATGAGATTGTCAGATCAAACATAATCTCTCTAGTAAAATTATTGACGGGCTGATTCTCATAATGCAAGAAGAAAAATACACAAGGACGGATGTTTGGATTGCAATCAAACGGACACATTGTAGAGAACTGATAAAAAATTGTATAGGAAATAGAAGTACCTCTAAAAAGATAGCAGAAAATGGGAACTATCATAAATGTAGAAAACACTGGCATTAGATCGTATACTCTGATGAATCAGTCGTTTATGATAAATCAAGGGAACAATATCCTGAAGATGAGAATACTCCATCTGTCCTAATCGAGAAAAGAATGTATTGCTTAAAGATTTCAGTCCACGAGTCAACAGATTCGTTAATAGGAAGCATTTTAACATGTTGATCCACACTATTTCTGCGAATACCATTGTTCGACCTGATCTAGTGATGAACAACAAGTGTTCATAAAGTTCCAGTACGAAGAAAGTTTAAAGTCATCCGTACTATGGGAAGTCTCTCTAGATCACGTAGTGTGTATGGGTAATTTATATTGAGGAAGAGTGCATTGTGAGAATAGACCTTATATGAAAACATAAACGCGAGGTTATAGACTTCCTTCAAACAATCTCACAGTTCATGACCAGTAAGCACCTGCATACAACACAACAGCAACACCACCAGAAGTTGGCGTTATAGTGAAAGCAATGATGGAAACACAAGATAATGAAGACACTTAATCTGAGATGCATCAGAACAAAATAGAGAAAGAGAGGTGGTCCAAACCAAAGGTCATCCATTGCAATCATCTTTAGAAGAGCTTCAGCAGAAGAATGGCCAAATGGCTAGCTTCAAACTAGACTGCCAAATGTCAGCCTGCGGAAGAGCTTGTCCAGATCATTCAAGACACCACAAGGGATAAAACTTCCAGTGGATTCCCTCGACATGAAGAGTAATTGCCCTGTGACAGAACAGTAAGTGTTTATAAAGGGCAAAATGATATCCCGTCTTCATACCATAAGCCACAGAGAAGAAATTCGTCACAAATGTTTGGTGAGTGGACAATTTAAGGACAGTAGTGTTTATAAAGGGCAAGACGATACACCATCTTCATACCATAAGCCACAGAGAAGAAACTCGTCCCAAATATTTGGTGACTGGCTAGTTTAAGAACAGTAAGTGTTGATAAAGGACAAGAATTTATTAAAGATAGCCTTACTTTACTGATGAATTTCATTTTCTTGAATCCATCATCTTCAAGAATACTTTAAAAATAGCCTTAATTTGTTAATGCATGCTATCCTTTCAATGGTTTCTATTGTAAGTTGGGATTCTTTTGGTCCCCAAACAACTTAATGATAACAAAAACATTTTTATTCTAATTATAAGTCCTACAGATTGGTTTAATTAACGTTTGCTGATAGGTCTAAGTTCACAGTAATAAACCACACAACAATTTCACTTGTTAATTTCTCTCGAATGTACAGCAGATTCTCGTAACTGTAGAAGTTCATTGCAGAGACAAACTCGCAATTAAAAAAATTAAATAACTGGCTAACTAATTGACTAATCAAACTCTCTAATTCAATAATCAATTATCTGTTGCAGCAGCTTCATAAGATCAGTCACCATCTACTCTAAATTAGCGTGTCTTGTATTATACCATTTAAATTATTTCCTATTCTTTCAAGAACATTTCTGACATGAAACCTCACACACATTACATCAGTTAACTATCCCTCTAGTCAAAAAACAATTCAAACGTATAAATATAAAAACACAGTCTACAAACTTCTTCTCTTTCCTGAATTGAAATCCCTTCTACAATACTATTAAATAAAGAAAATAATGGCACATTAAACTTAAACTCCATAATTCACAATAAAATAACTCCTGACACTTAACATCATTAATATCCATAAAAAAAGAGATTACAATAACTAAATCATTAATTAAGTGTTAAAAGACGCACGATCAAAATACTATTTGTTACATTATTTACTGTTTCTCAATTGTCCAGTCAATCTTTTTTGAGGTTTTATATCCCGTTGCTTATGGTAGGAAGGTGGGATAACCTTTCCTTGCTGTCTTGAAACTTTTAGGATTTTCTTCAAGTAGAAGTTCGAGAGAATCCTCTGTTATATCCATCCATTGTTATATTGTGGAAGGAATCTCGAACTGTAACCTCAGAATCTTCAGAAGATTGACCCAACTCTAACAAAATCTTCTTTCAATTTAACTACATGGTCGTTCTCCCACCGATTAGCTACCAAAGACAATCATGATGAATTACCTCTAGCTTAAACCACTTGTCTTTCCGGTGTTGGATGTCTTCGTTATCTTAATTATCTCTCCTTGTTGTCAGTGGTGTTGTTATCTTCGTGCAGTGCACAGGGACTTTCTGTTCTTAGGCTCTAAAACTGTTTGAAGATCGTGTATCATCGCATGAGGTCGAACAATGGTAACAGTAAAAACAGTGTCAAATGAGGTCAATCAACATGCAACATGGACTGACTTATTTCAAAAAATGCATTGCTTAACTCAGCTGAAGAATTCACAATGTACTCTTCTTGGTTGATTATTATCATTCTCGTGTTTATAGCAGTGTCCTTTTTATCATCCTTTGGAATTTTGTACTTTCTAAAAGCTTTTAAGTGAAATTCCGGCGATATGCCCTTTTAAGTTGCGATTGAAACACCTTCAACCTTGTGTGATATCTTTCACATTTTGAGTAAACAGTTACGTAATTAAAGGCTTCTGTCTGCGGTTCCTGGTGTTATGAAATATGTATCCTATGGGATGCTTCTCTCGTTTTGAATTAACAGTTATCTAATAATGTCGTAATCACTTGATTGAAAATTATTCATTTTAAACTTTAATTGGTTCAAGTTCCAACAGGTTCCCTTAAAGATGTTCATCTACTAACGACAGAGAAGTTTCTAGATAAAAAGACATGAATGAAGTTTCACCTCTATTATATTCTTACACCTATTTGAAGACGAGCCATTTTCATAGATAATAAGATTTCAATAAGTAAGCCCAGTTCTACCACAATGTTACTTAACTGACTCTATCATCATCCTTTTATGGTAACTCCATAATCTTCTATTCGTGTAGACGTTAAACACAGAATAAACATGTAAAATTCATATATGATATGAGAGTTTAAGACTTATCAGTTTGTATATTTCCAAATAAATTTACTATGAACGTATTGTTGCGTCAGCGAGGTCACGTGACTGGTGTCACGCCACCTCTCGAACCTTCGGGAATAGTCGGGAGATTACTAGATATAGGGTAGTCTGGTATATATATAGGCGGGTGGCAGCGTGACGGAATAATGATGTGTGTGTAGACAGTGAGTAACTGATCTGCAGTCAGAGAGTATTATTGAGCACGTTCGTTGTTATAGCGTTTGTTTTAGCGCGATTGTTGAAATTAAGTGTATCGTAAAGTTATATTTGGAAAGAATAAACCAGTTTTATTAAGTAAGGACTTGTGTTGCTAAAGTTTCGTCGGAACGAAGTTACGGAAAGTTAATTAACAAACGGAGACGTAACAGTATATTAAATATAATGCTACAGTTTTTGGTAAGAACAAACCTACTTGTCTCTTGCTAGAATGTGTTATGTTACAGACCCTAATCTGGCAGAATGGACACCTGGGATACAAATCAGACTGTATGGAAAAGAGTAGCACCATAGTTTGGCAGAGTGAACCCCTAGGACATAACTGAAGCTGTTTGAAAAAGAGCAGTACAGTGTAAAGCTTTCTGTCTCTGTGCAATATTTAAAAAAATAATATCATAGGTATGATGGAATTCATATAATAAAGTCTGAAGTGTATAAATATATAAACGATAAGTATCGTTTTTATACATAAATGCTATCATAATACACAATATTTATTGTTTAAGTATATAAAATATCCACATGTCTTAACTTGTGTTAAGTAGAACGTTTAAAGTTTTGAAAATAATGCATTTAGCAACACTTTAAATAGCTCAAAGCAATGATCAGAATAGTGATGACAAAGAGCCAAGAGTAATATAGACAAACTTATGGAATATTAGTCAAATTTCACATTTAATGGCAGAGAGTAAACAATAATGGTGACAAGCAGTCTGGGATACTTGTTATATGCAACATGGGTAACATAGAGTAAACAATAATGGTGTTAAGCAGTCTGGGATACTTTTTTGTGTAACATTTATGAAGTAAAGAATAATTGTGACAAATAATGAGGGCCAAAGGTTCTGGAATATTTTATGTATAATATTGGCTACAGATAGTCTATGAGAATGGTAATAATAGTTCTAGGACATTTTATGTACAATATAGCAATAGATAGCCTATAATAATGGCGACAAGAGTTCTGGGATATTTTATGTACAGTATTAGGTACAGATAGTCTATAAGAATGTTGAAAAGAGTTCTGGGATATTGTATGTACAATATTAGCAACAGATAGGTTATAAGAATGGGGCAAAAAGTCCTGGAATATTTTATGTACAATATTGGCGACAGATAGTCTATAAGAATGGAGCCAAGAGTCCTGGGATATTGTATGTACAATATTAGCAACAGATAGGTTATAAGAATGGGGCAAAAAGTCCTGGAATATTTTATGTACAGTATTAGGTACAGATAGTCTATAAGAATGTTGAAAAGAGTTCTGGGATATTGTATGTACAATATTAGCAACAGATAGGTTATAAGAATGGGGCAAAAAGTCCTGGAATATTTTATGTACAATATTGGCGACAGATAGTCTATAAGAATGGAGCCAAGAGTCCTGGGATATTGTATGTACAATATTGGCGACAGATAGTCTATAAGAATGGAGCCAAGAGTCCTGGGATATCAGATAAGTGCGGTATTGTTGTTAGGGGTTCCTGATAGGTATATCAAGGGAGACATATGTTTACATTCACCTGAAACTGTGAACTATATTTAATTCTATATCGAATAGCTTGCTTTTAATTTTTAAATATTTTTATCGTTCTAGGAACTGGAAAATAAATGTCGACACAGGAAATCTAGCATTGTCGTCAACCCGGTGCCCTGGAAAATTGTGTCTAAACGAAAGAGACTGTGTTGCTACCAGTTCTCAAAGTGTGTTGTTGGCAGCGAGCAGTATCGAGAAGAAATGAGAAGTAACGTTAAGGGAAAAGACGCTGCCAACAGTGTTAGTAAAATAGATGAATTATCTAGAATTCTGTTTCCCGTTAGTTTTGCCATGTTAAATTTGTTTTATTGGTGTTCCTACGGAGTTCATGAAAACGTCGAGTCTTGGAAGAATGATTAAATTATCCAAAATAAAAAAGAATTGACATAGCAACAAACAGACTGACTCACGAACAGATTACTCTACCTTAAGTTTTCATATAAATATTAAAATGCTGCCTAATCATTCTGCTTATCGACCAACTTTGCAGGAATACAAAATTATATTCGGTGCCTCATCCACGTACATTTTCATATTCATCATCTTTTTGGCCAGAAATAAAGCAGCATAAGATACTTACTGTGATCAGAAAGAAGTGAAATATGTTAATATTTGTTTAAAAACCTCTAGACACGTTAGCATAGCTCGGGTTACTTTACTGTGTAGTTTTACCGTCTAATATAAAGAGTGTTGGAGGAAATAATACAATCTTTCCCGCCGTAAAAGTTTCATTTTGAGTCACAAAACTAACAGTCATACTACAGTAGAAGTGAAGAACTAATGTCATTTTGAGTCATAAAACTAAGTGATATTGCATTCACAAAACTAATACTCATACTCCAGTAACAATAAAAAAACAATTCAACTCTGAGTCACGACCGTAGTTCCAGCCCCCCCTCCCAATGGCTCATCAGTAGTCTGTAGGCTAACAACGCTAAAAACCTGGTTTCGGTATCCATGGTGGGCAAAGCGAAGACAGCCCGTTGTGTAAGTTTGTGTTTCACAATGAACAACTAATCATAGTTCCAAGTCATACAATAACAAACAACTAAATCCATCTTGGTTCACTGAACTCTCAAAATAACATAATGTTAATAATCTTATTATTCCAAGAACATTCAACTTTATCTAATTCAACTTACTGAACGCTCGTTAAATATAAGAATTCGAGAATTTTATTTCTAATATGTCAAGTAGTTGTATAAAGTAAATTAGATAACTAAATAAAGTTACAGATAACAATCTTCATAGCTGTTTTAAAAAATAAACACGTTTTGTATAAGTATGTACACATCTACTTTTTATATATAATTTTCACAAGAAAAAATTTGCATAACAGATAGTATTTAAATTTAAGTACTTCTATTTTGTAGGATAAACTTCAAAACGCAGTTTTTATAGATATTATCAATTTAAAGACATGAATTCCAGGATGTTACAGATAATTATATAAAGTGCTAGATTATGAAGCACATAAACATTTAATGTATAAAGCTACAACAGAACAGAAAATATTGTTGCGTCATCGAGATCATGTGATTCTCACGCTCTCTACTTTCTAGAATTATCCTGTACTTTGGCGAATGTTCTAGTTCTTACT